ACTAAAACGATGACTAACTCCAACTATGTGTGTATATATATATATGTGTGTGTGTATATGTGTGGCGTTTGGCTTTTATGTGGTTAATTACGGGCACACTTGTATGTGACTCGTAAGTAATTTTGATGATATCAACAGCTTATGTTTTTAATTTCTGCCAAGCACTCCCAATCACTCAGATGATTCAAGACTACCCATGATATTCATTTGCAAGCTCTCTTTGGCTTTTTATTGCTTTTGGCAAACATTTAAGCAAAGAGGTCAAAAAGCGCTCTGTTAAACGAAGCAGATGAACATTAATATATACGCACACGCACGCACATACATACACACGCACGCGAATGCGAAGAAGTTCACTCAGATTTAGAATGCAACAGACGCCGGTTGGACCAGCTTTTAGAGAGAGGGATAGAGAGTGAGTGCTGGATCTTTGACTCTCTTTGGCTGCTCTCACTAACACACACTCACGCACGTACTCATAAGATCAGCTGCTGCGCATGCTTTCCCTCTCTCTCTCTCTCACAGACACACAACACACAATCGCTTTCGCTGTCGTTTCATGCGTTTTTTCAACTTTTGATTTGATGCGATCTTTTTATGTTGTTGTTGATCTTTCATTTAACAAGTTTCTTGTTCATTTGGCTAAGGCTCTTCCCACTCTCTTCTTTTATTTAATTATTTGTGTTTGTTTGTTTACTTTGTGTGCTATGTTTGACACACAATGGTGGTCAAAAATATTTAAACCGCAAGTGCAGGCGAAGGCAACAAAATTAGTTGCGAACATTTTAGTTTTGCTTAATTATTTTTTATTTTATTTTTGCTCTATGCGTCACTGTCTAAATTGAAATGTACATTTACATACATGCACACACACATACATGTATGTTATTCCACTAACGCTAATGTAACCATTATGTTTAACATTATGTTGTGTGTGTGTGTGAGAGAGAGAGAGACAGTATCTGATGCAAATACCATGAACTACTGACATTTAGGTCCGAGTTTTTACTAATGCCGCTGTTAATGTTTATTTGACATTGACCACTCAGTTAATGTTTGTGAGCAGCCACTTAAATTGACATGCACTCCATGCAATGGCAACATTGATGAGAACAGCAGAAAAAGCTGCTGTAGAAAAATAAGGAAAACTAGGTCATTAACAAACTCATGCTTATACATAGTTATGTATATATATACATATATACATCCATATACATGCACATATATGTATATATATATATATGTGTGTGGTCAGCGCATGCGAAAACTAACGGCAAATGAACTGCGCTGTGCCGATGCTGTTGTTGTTATTGACTGCAATGAGCTTATGTAAGCCAAATGCATGCACATAAGTCGTACCTATTTATATGTATATGTGTACATACACACAGAATACATATACACATACACATACACATAGGCAATATATCCTAAAGGACGTAGAAGAAAACACCCACGTTTTTGTCCACACATTTAATAGTATGTATGTGAATGTGGGTGTATGTATGTGCGTACATATTTGTATGTGTGCGTGGGCGCAAGGAGCATTAATAGCCAGAGCAGCAGAAAAGCGCACACAAGCGAATGCCGTTACACTCACACACACAACACAAACGCGTAAATTATGTGCTTGCGTTTTGCAACTGTAGGTGGAGCCACACAGTCGCCAGAAAAGGATTGTGCTCCGACCGACAGACAGACAGGCGGACCAACAGTAGTAACATTACATAATTTTGCAATTTTGCATAGAACAAACACACACACACATACACCCACACACATACAAGCACACACACACAGACAGACACAGGCAACATAGATTGTGTATGTGTGTGTGGGAGTAAGTTCCATTCATTAACAGTTACAAAAGTTAAAGCAGAATTAAAGGCGGGGGAGATGGGCGGTGGGCTGCAGAGCAGAAGTAGCAACTACACGATAAATGTAGGCTAACGCAGGCGTCGACGTCGACTGCGATAGCATTGCATAAATGTCAAAGTGAAGTGTAGCGGCGAACAACGGGACATTAGGGGGATTTGAGGGTGAGTGACGAGGGGAGGTGGAATAGTTAGCACAAAAGCGAAAATGTGAAGAAAAAGCATGTGCGCTGCTGCAAAAGGAAATGTCAACGTGCATTGATTTTTTTATATTTTTTTTATTGTTGGCCGTCTTTTATTCCGCCTCTCCTTTTTCTCGTTTTTTTTTTGGGGCGTAAGTATTTATTGTATTTGTTTTCGTGTCGCAGCATTTGCAGGGGGCGGAAACGGGGGGACTAAAAGCCGATAGATAAAAGGAAGCAGAGCCGAGCGCAATGAGCGACGCGCATCGAAAGCCAAAGAGAGAGAGAGAGAGAGAGAAAGAGAGATATGTGTAAAGTGGAAGGGAAAGAGAAAAGAGCAAGTATATGTTGAAAATTAGTTCTGTTGCTGTTGTTTCGATTTTTTTTTTTTTTTGATTGGAAGTTATTTTATCGCACTTGAAGAACTTCAAGTAACCCAGTCAAAGCCAACATGCATACTAATGGAATATTGTATGTGCGTAATGTGAATGAGCACATTTTTGATTTATTTTCATAATGTATGTGTACGTATCTGTGTGTATGTAGCAGGCAAAATTATTGATAGCCACCTGCTCGCACACCCACCCACCCACTGACCGACACCGACAGCGACCAGCACAAAAAAAAACAAAAAACGAGGAATGCTGCTTCATTGATTATTCACCAAAATTGAACACACTCACACACATACACGCATATGTTTGCGGACACAGTGAGTGAGAGACCGCGTGCATAGAAGCTCTCTCAGTATTACACACACAAATACGCATACAGAGAGCTTTCGCGCAAAAATATGGATTTTCTTGCTATTGTATTTTTGTGTATTGTGTTGAGAGTTAGAATTTTGAATTGCTGATGATGATGACTAGCACACACTTACTTGCCCACGAAATTCTCCAGCACGGAACTCTTGCCAGCCGACTGTCCACCAACGACGGCAATCTGGGGCAAATCCAATTGCATGTGCACCCCAAGCGAGGTGAATGCATCCTGCAGCTTATTGACGATCGGTATTAAATTATCCATGTTGCAAGGATGTTTTTTTTGTTGTCTATCAACACAGGTTGTGCTCTTCTTCTTTTTCTTCTTTTTGCTCTCTTTGAACAAGATCGCACAAATTTTGTTTTTGTTACGTTTGTGAACAGTTAATCGCTGTTACTGTTACTGCGAACGAGCGAGCGAGCGAGAGAGAGAGAACACGAAGAACACAGCGCTTAGCTGTGACGCTCACGCCTACGCCTCAGCCTCTGTGGCCGCTGTTCGATGTTTGCTGCTGCTGCTGCTTGCTGGCTGCAGCTTTTGTTACGTTTTTAGTTATCAAATTTTATGTGTGATGTGAATATTTTTTTCTTTTTCTCTCTTGCTCTCACTTCTTTTACAAATCACGCACACACACACGCATACACGAACGAACACTATCTTCTTCCTCTCTCTGCCGACACCAACAAACACTGCCACTTGTGTTTTAGTTGTTGTTGTTGCTGCTGCTGCTGCTGCTACTGCTGCTGTTTGTATTGTGTATTAAAAGAAAGAAAAATTAACTTCGTAAGTCGCGCGCAAACAACACCACTATTTTATATATATAAAACCAAAAAAAAAAAAAAACAATAAGAAAACGGCACACACAAATATATATCAGCAAAAAAAAAATCTTATAAGAATCCAGCCCAGGCACAAAAACATGCACGCACACACAGAAACACACACACACAGAGACAGACAGAACACGTTAACTCGACGGCATCGATACGCCACAAGCCAGCGCGTAACGTAAGCGTGCCTTTGCTTTTGCTTCTGCTGTTCTTCTGTGGCTCTGCCTGTGACTGCGCCGCTGCTTATGCCTCTGCTGCTGCCGATGACGACGCGTTGGGGCGGGTTTTAATGTTGCTGCGCTCTTGCATATGATTTTTGTGTGTCTGCGCGCAGGGTTGTTCTGTTGTTTATCAAAAACTATATCCCGAATTTTGACTAACCGATACCGATAAAATGAAAACGTAAAATTTTTACTTTAGATTTCAGACACATACAATAATTTATTTCTCGACACACCCGTTGGTACTATGAAAAAAAAATAAAATTTTATAAAAAGTACAAATTGCATGCAAGCACATATATATATATATATATATACATATATGATATACATGTATTATATATATACATATATTATATATATACACACACATACACACAGAAAATAAGAAGTTGCTCGCTTTGAATGGGTTGAAAGAATTGATCGTTCGACTTGTTTAAGATTTGTGTGTGATAATATTAATTGGTCTCGTGAACGGTCGACACAACTTCCGAGTAGTTTTTCAAGCGACAAATCACTATTTACAAGAAAGTTACGCGTACCGAACGCTTTACGTCCGCCCCTTTTGGCTTTGTTTTTGCTTCTGAATATTCGATGACAAATACTATTTAGTAGCTCTGCATTATCGATAATGACTGGCCATTATCAACCATCCATTATCGACTAGAAAATATGTTATTTTCCAAATAATAGTTTAACTTAAATAAATTTGTTTAAAGTTTTGATAAGCATAAAAAACTGCAACTTAATTCCAAGAAATTGTAATTCTTACACATTTTAAAATTGTTTTAATCGGATTTCATGGCTGAACTATCGATATTTTTTTTAACATAGGCGCTAATATTTTAAATGAACAAATTTTGTTAATCTTCATCAATTTATTTATGTCCCTTAGACCTCTTTTAAAAATAAAGAATTAAAAAAAACGAATTTTATTCGAAGAAACACATTGCGTTCCAATTACCGATTTTATTAATGTTATCGCTACTCAAATATCGTATAAGGGAGTATCGTCTCATGCGGAGCACAACATTCCACACAGAGCTAACAGCTCTAATTCACGCAATTGGCAACACTTTCC